GACAATATCTTTAGTATTTCTTATTTGTAGGCCTACCTTCGTGAGCATTTCGAGATAAAATGTCTTGGTCATCTTTGGTATTTCTTGAGACTTGAGATTTCTGACACTTCAGATGGCTTTTTCTCGTCTTAGGCCAAGTATAGGTCTGATCTTATCTCTCTTGTTGGCTTGACTGATAGCAAACTCACCTCCACACCTCTTGAGGCAAAAAATCGTCTCACCCCTCAGGATGGCTTATAGCTTGACGATCCGACCCTTTATCGTGAACTGGTTGGATCCTTGATTTATCTAATTGTATCTCGTCCTGGCATAGCTCATGTCGTACATATTGTTATTCATTTTATGGATGCTCCGCGGACTATGCATTATTCTACAATGCTCCATATTCTTTGCTATATTAAAGGTACGCTTCTTCATAACCTGCACTTTTCTGCTCACTCATCATCGATCCTTGCGGGCTACTCTGATGTAGATTTGGTAAATGAACCAACCGTAGATCTACTATTGTTTTCTATTTCTTTCTTGGTGACTTTCTGATTTATTGTCGCAAGAAGAAGTAGAAAGTCATCTATAAGTTTAGTGTTGAGTCTAAGTGTCATGCTCTCGCTCATTCTACAACCGAATATCTGTGGTTTTGCTGGTTATTGTTTGGTTTTGGTGACCTTAGTCCTCGTTTACTACTTTTCATTGTGACAGTCAAAGTGCTATCTAGATTGCACACAATGATGCCTTTCACAAGCGCACAAAGGATATTGAGTTCGATTGTCATTTTGTGAGGCAACATGTGGTTGCCAAGACTATTCTGTTGCATCCAATTTCCACTGAAGATAACGGACAGATGTACTTGCCAAATTTCTTCTTCCAAATTATTTTCATCTTCCTTTATGCAAACTCAAGTTGATATTTATGACACCAACTTAAATTTATGGGGATATTAGTATATATATTATATATTTTTGTACCTATATATTGACCAAAATAGCCTTTGTACAAAATATAAAATTTATGTGTAGTGTAGATTGTGCTTATTGTGCAAGAAAATAATATACAAACTTTCCCCAAAATACACAACACCAAGCACTCTTTTTAAGTATTAAATATAATAATTTAAAGTATATAATTAAAACTAAAATCTATGGGCTAATATCCTCACAACATAATTATGTGATAACCCCAATCCTGTGCAAGAATTAGATCCTAATTATCTGTGGTGTAAATTAAAAATGCATGTAGGGTTTGCTTAAGACAAGTTACAAACATTTTGTTTAGCAGATAAGATATGTTAGAAACCAAATATACCTCTTTTAATTTCTTAATAATATTAATTAATTAATTAATTAATCACTTCATGTCTTAAAAGCTAAGAAACACAAAATCAGATGGGGATTTAATCTGTAATGTCACCAGCTTATAAGCATCAATCTTAATTATTTAATTTAATTTTCTCTACCCTCCTATTTGTTTATATATATATATATATATTTATTTAATTACTTATTATAGTTTTGTAGGTGGGCATCAAAGGTTTGAATGGAAATGTTTACCTATTCTTAACATATTCTTTTTATATGTTTAAAATAATTTAAAATTATAATCTAACAATTTAATTTGTATAATTTTGCTGTAATCTTTCTGTTTAAAATTATATATTAATTATAATCACATTTAGAAATTTATATGGAATTTAGCGAATTCATTTTTTTATTCAATAAACATAATTCAATACTCCCTCCTTCCCATAAATATAATTTTAATTGGATTGTGCACGAGATATAAGAATATTGATATTATATTGGTAGTTGGTAAAAAGTATGGATAAAAGATATTTTTGCCCTTGTGAATATATTAGTTTAAAAAGCAGTGGTAATTGTGTAATAAAAATGAAAAAAGTATTGATAGTTTTATGATCATATGGTTATTTATGAAAATAAGATTATTATTTTAAAACGAACAAAAATTATAAACAAGACTATTGTATTGGAAAGAGTATTTTTTATTATTCAATATATTTATAATATAATTCAATTGATGTTATAATTTTACAGCTCAACATGATACTAATACTGTTCGTTACATTTTTATTTTTTTTATATATATAATTTAACCAAATTTTATTTCTTCAATACTAGTTTAATTTTAAAATAAATATAAATAGCGACCCATAAATATTTTGATTATTTTATTTTATTTTATTTGAATAATAATAATAATAATAATAATACATTGTGAAATGACTTTTTCCACATGCAGAGCACTATTGAGTGATTCTGGAGGAGGGCCCACCCACATGTATTGTGCATTTCTTGTAGCTTCTGCCAACTTATTAATCACTTTTACACACTGTCTAAATTAATTAATTAATTAATCTTTTTAATGAAATAAACATTGTTCTTACAAACTTGGGGACCCAATCTTGGGATGAGTCCATGTCTGCCCATGTGCCTCCCTTAATTACTTTCTTTTATTTTATTTCTTTTTCTTCCTTTCAAACAAAACCACTAATTGTGGTCTCCATTCGGACATACAATTAAACATATATATATATATATACTCTCCCTTCGTCCACAATCTAACGTCTGTCCAACAATTATTATTATTATTTTATTTTTATACACAAAATTTATTCTTTTACCTTTATTTTATTTACTTTTTATTTTCTATACACAAGATTAAGGACAAATTTGTTATTTTATAACAAAAACCTTAATTGCCTAAAAATACATGTAAATATCAAGTAGGACATTAGAAAATGGACGATGAGAGTATATATTAATTATATATATAATCGCCAGGCTTATGAAGAAGCTATTTCCTGTTAAAGTTTTTTTATCAAAGTGGAGTCTCATTCCTTTGCTTATTATTTCCTTCTCAAGCTTTTGTGATCAACAAGTTTTTGGTTATTAACATTAACTTGCAACCTAATTAATGTTTCTATTCTTATTATTATTATTATTATTATTATTATTATTATTATGTTTTTCCTCTTTTGCTGTAATGATCAGTCACACCATGTGCTTCAAACCCAACTTGTCCATGTACAAATGAGTTTTGTCTTTATATTATTTTTATTTTTATATATTTTTCCAAAGAATACATACATACATATATATATATATATTTGGTAATGCCCTAAACAACCCACATACTTGTACAGATATAGATGTTTTAAATTTGGTTTGTTTACAAGTATTTGAGTATTTGGATCAGCAACTGATCTTATCAAGTCAATTCTTTACTAATTTGATCGAATTAATATATAAAAATGACCAATATATAATTGAGCATATGTTATATTATAATTCAATATATATTATCATATAATACAACGGATGCTAAGATACGTTTAAATATATATAGGAGGGAAAGAACATAATGGCAGCTGGAGGATAAATGAAATGATGATTACTTGAACCTTAACCTAAGTTAGTAGCAAGAATTGTTGTAAGGATAATGTTAGTTGTTTCCATTTTGGGGAAACATAATTAAAACTTTGTGGGTTAACTACTTAGACCTAACTAACTTCAATTTTATTTAACAAGCCCTTTTTTTATTTTTATTTTTTTATGACGTGGAAATCCGCAATCGCTACCTGACGGAAAAATCACGTTAGACAAACCATGTGTGGCAAGTGATCTGAAGCATCACACTAGGTGAACCATGTATAGTAGATGGACCTGAGACGTCGGAGGTTTAAACCCATGACCTCACCGTCACAAGTTCAACCCCTACACTATCAAGCCATCTTTTACGGGACTTTTAACAAGCCCTTTTGACCATGCTACAATATATAATATAATTAATTTAAATTTATGCACAAATAAATACCTCTTCCATTCCAGATAAGTTCTTATAACATGAGACGTGCAACGTATATATATAGTTTACCTAGTCCAAACAGAATAATGTCAATTATACAACGTAAGAATTTACATCTGTCACTCATTGGTTACCTTTTTTATTATTTTTTTTTTTTAAAAAAAATTCAGACAGCAAATCAAACAAAAAGATGAAGAAAGTGCCTACCACGAGCTAGCAGAGAGGTCCCCATTTATCTTAAAGAACCAACCATTCAGATAGATTTGTTGTCATTGGCCTCCATGTTACATTTTCTATCTTTATGGCACACTAAAAGTATAAATATAAATATATGGTAATATTTCTTATAATTAAATTCAGCCTAAAATCTTCTTATACTTTAAAAAGTGCATAGTACTTTCTTATATTTTAAAAAATATTACATTAAACCCCACCGCAATAAAATCTTCATTTACTTTAAAAATTGCATAGCGTTCCCTTATACTTTAAAAAATATTACATTAAACCCCATCTCAATAAAATCTTCATTTACTTTAAAAATTTAATAATGCTCCTTATACTTTAAAAAAATATTGCACGAAACTTCACTGCCATAATATCTCCTTTACGATGAGAAGATAATTTTTTATCTATATTTTTTTTGCATGAAGGAGATATTTTATGCAACATTTTTTAAAATACAAAGAGACCCGTACAATTTTATAAATTTACTGAATTTCAAAACTACTGATAAATTTTATGCAATTTTTGGTAAATATAAAATAAATCACTAAGAGAACAGAAATGAAATGAAGAGTTTTCACAAACCCCACTTCGACAACCCTTCCATTATTACTTGAAACCAAACCTAATGACTATGACAAACTCGATTGGTACTCCCCACTTCCACAATTCCATGTATGTGTCCAAATCATGACAACCTTGACACCTACCCCACAATGCCCCCCTACCCCTTATCTATGTGTCGTCCATTGTTGACAGCTCCACTAATCCCACACTTTTACAATAAATAAAAAAATTTAGTCATAACCCAATCTCAATAAATATATATATATCCCCAATTCCCAATTATGAAGGTAAAAAACAAAACACAAGAGATTAAAATGTGACCTCAATTCTTGGCACCTAATTGACTAACCCACATTAGCTATCTTCTTAATTAATTAACTCCAAAATTCAACACATTACCAATATGTATATATGCATTCATCACAAAAACTCTATTTATTTTTAATTCACATTAGAATATAAGAATAATATTCATAAAGAGGTGGGAGAATGGAGACGAATGAAATAGCAAATTAAAAGTGAAGGGAAAGCGAGAATTAGCCAGGAGGACTCCTGGAACTGGGACTGGAACTTGAGATGAACTGAGCGGGAGTTGCAGCAGAGGAGGAAGACGAAGCAGAGCCCCTTCCAGAGAGCAGTTCTGCAATAGCACTCATTGCTCTCACCTGCAATGGAAGAACCGAATAAATTTATACTGAGTTATGTCAAGTGTGCGTTGTTAATAAATGCGACAGTAAAAGAATTCAATGATAAATGAATCACCTGCATTTCGAGGGCCGGGATGTAGTCGGTCGCCTCCTCCAAAACCACCGGCAGCGGCTGTTTCCGGCAGCCGGGAACTAACCTTCCCAAAACTCGCGCTTTGCGCTGAACGGCCGGCAGGGATTTGGATTTCAAACCGAGGATTTTGACTTTCGATTTCCTCTGCGGCCGGCTGCCGCTGGTAATCACTGTCATCACCTGACTCTGTCTTTTCACGATGTTATTCTTTTTCATGAACTTCAGCTTCAGTCGGTTTGTGAGAATTGCTCGGCTCCATCGTGTTCGTCCTTTCGCCGCCGCGGCGAGGACTCTGTCTGCAGCTTCGTGGACTCGCTTCGGACCTGAGGAACCGTCGCTGAGCCGGACCTGGCGAAGAGCCTGGATCAGTTTGGATGAGTAGATTTGCTGCTGAGATTCGGATTTCCATTCGATTGAGGAATTTTGCTGTGAATCGTTTCTATTGAGGTTTTCTCCCGAGGACTGGATACGACTCTTCTTCTTCTTCCTCCTGGTTGATGAACTATCGGAATTTACAGCTGGATTTGCTGATACCAGTGATGACGTCATCTTTTGTTCTTCCTGTTTATCCAAAATGAAAGCTGTTCAGGAAAATTTGATGCTGCGGATTCAGTTGGATTGATGAAAAAAAATTCAGTTAGATTCACAAGTACAGGTAGATTCAAAGAGGTATCAAGTAAAGGCGAAAGAAAATCAACGCACTGAAGATGGACAGCAGTAATCACCAAACATCGCCGCTAATCCATCATGACCTAATCAATTTCAGAAACTAATCTCTCTTAAACCTCAAAGGCTGGTATCAAAATTGATGATACAGTAGCAACACAAAATCAACGCAGATCATATATCCACTTTCCAAACAAACTAATTCCATTAAAATCATCCAAAACTTCAACACCAAAAACAAAAACATCTTCCGAAGCAAGCTGCTCCAATCTCGTGAAATCTATTTCAAATCAAAATAAGCGAACGAACCAGAAATAGCGATCATTTACCTGAGGAAACTAGAAGCTGATCTCCGGTTGCCGTTCTCTATAAACTCATCCGAGAATCATTGGTGCAGAAAATCGATTAGAGTTTGGGAATTAGTTGGGGAGGGAGGGAGAGAGAGGTGTGGGAGGGGAGGCCTTTAATTGACAGTGGCTCGGCTGGGCTCGGCTCGGCTCAGGTCATCACATGCGTTCCATCCCTTCCTTTATATATTTATATGATCTCATCTCATCTGATAAAGAGGAGTTGGCGTTTCGTAACTTGTGAATTACTATACACACATGACCATTATTATTATTATTATTATTTAAGTGCTTAATCTTTGTGAGGGAGTATTATTCACGCTTCAATTATTAATTAATTAATTTTAATTCTGTTTAAAAGTTTATTATTATTTTTTTTTAATCTATTCAATTTGAGGTTTTTTTATTTTTTTTCTTCAAAATCATTTTATTTTTATTTTTCTCTTAATAAATAAATATTTTATCTATATTTTAAATTTATTATATCTTTGTAATATTAATTTATGTTAATTATAGATTAATAAATATATACTCGGTCCACGAACTAATGTCCTACTTTTTTATTTAGACGTCCAACAACTATTGTTATTTCATTTTTTAAACACAAATTTTACATTTTTATCCTTCATTCATTTATTATTTTTAATCTCTACCGTACAATTAAGGGCAAATTTGTCAATTCATAACAAAAAGACAATTATCTAAAAAACCGTACAAATATACTTTAGACAATAGAAATTGGACTGAGGGAGTATTTTATTGTATTATATAAAATTTTATTTTTTATAAAATAATATATATATATATATTTGATTAAAAATTAATTTTAATTTTTTTAATAATATATATTAATATTTATTTCAAAAATACTAACATCCTTATATAATCTATTAAATTATATCACCTTAAATATTATATTTCTAACCAAAGGTACTATCATCTACAGAATGGAAGGAGCATAGCATATAATTTTATAAAAAAACATAACAAATGCATAATTAAACGGGTAAACTATATAATATATTTTTATATTTTACTAAAAAAAGCACAAAACATCTTACGTTTTATTTATTGCGTGAACCCTTTTGTGTTAATGAAAAGTTTACATGAAACATCTTCCTTGTTCAAAATTGATTTTTGGTTTGAAATAAAAACCTAAATTACATAAGTTTTATACAAATAAAAAAGGTAAAATATCTTAAATAAATTTTTTTGAATAAAATAAATAAATAAATAATTGATCAATTATTTATTTTTATAATTTTAATAAAAATCAGACAACAATTTGTCTCCAAAAACTATGAAACCAAGGATTAATAAATTATTTATTTATTTATTTAATGCAAAAAAATTATTTAAGATATTTTGCGCTTTTTATTTGTATAAAACTTGCGTAATTTAGGTCTTTATTTAGAACTAAATATCAGTTTTGGACAAGAATGATGGTTCGTGCAAACTTTACATTAACACAAAGAGATCTTACGTAATAAATAAAACACAGATATTTTGTGCATCTTTACTAAAATACGAGAAGGTGTGATATAATTTTCCCTAATTAAAATCAATTTTCAAATAAACATATCCATAATATTCTTATAAAAACACGACATTTAATTTCAAATTTTATTTAAAATATTACATGTAAACATTCTTTCATTTTGAAAATACTAAAGCAAAGAACATACAACTAAAATATAAAACTATTAAGTAAACAAACCTTTATTTATATTTTTTCATTAATTAACATACTATCAATTTTCATTCAAACATTTCATACAAAAACATTTGATAATTAACTGTTATAATTTTTATATTATTTAACTGCTATAATTTTTTTATAAACATATTTTTTTTTTACAAAATATCATGTAAAATAAAATTTAAATTAAAAATCTAGTTGAACTAGAACACACATATACAAATTTTCCAAATTTTTACTATTATCAAATTCTTTTCTCTAAAATGGTATCAAATCAAATACCTAAAATGAATTTTAGGTTTAAAACATTACATTAGCATCTAGTTATATCACATCATATAACTATTTCAATTTAAATTTCTTACTATTTAAATTTCAATTCAAAATCCGAACATTCAAACAAGTCCAGATCGGTAAATATTTACTTTGTTATCTTTATTTATTATTGTGGGCTCTATTCATTCTGTTTTTAGATGAATTGATTTTTTATATATATATGAGAAATTGTGTAAAAAAATATAAAATATATTTTCACCGTCTGCTTTTAAGGGTCATAATTACCTTTTGTATCATTGTACTTAACATTAAAAATTTTAATATTTGTATAATTTTTTGTACAAATATCCTTTTATTAGTATTACAAGACGCTAGTAAAAATACTTTTGTATTTTTTTTAATTTGTATTATATTTTGATATAATAATTAATATTCAAATATTGACATCTAAAAAGTAAATAGAACCCATAGAACCAGACAATATTATTTAAGTTGAATATTTTATTTTTTTGAATGAGTATTTGAATTTTTTAAAATATTCTAATTTTATATTACTCCGTCCGTATTGGGTCAACTATGACATTATCTGCTTTGGGCTGAGCCCAGTAGATTTGTTTTTGGATATCCTTCAAAAGTCCTCGTACTAGTAGAGTTCACTTGGGACTTATAACGTGTGCAATTTTCTTCACAACTTCCAATGTGGAACTTGGTTTGCACCCCAACAATTATTCTTATCTTTTCATTATTATTATTACACAAATGCCACTACTTTTTACACTAATACACTCACAAGGACAAAAAAGTCTTTTATCCGTACTTTTTACCAACTACCAATATAATATCAATATTTCTTAAATTCTATATCCAACCCAATTAAAACTATATTTATGGGACGAATGAAGTATTATTTATAGTGCTGGGTGAACAAACCCGTTGTTTGTAAATTGTAATTATACATTGGTTTTAATTATCTTATAAAATGAATATAATATATGACGTGAAATTTAATAATTATATTTTAACAAGAAATAGATACGATAATTTATGAATGAAGTGGGGGTATTAAAAAATAGTTTAATAAGAAAGGTTGAAATTGGAGAAGTGGTGGAAATGGCCCACACACTAACCACCAATAGTGGGGCCCACTTACATGTGCGCTTTCTGTCCCGTGTCTTGTTTTCTTCTTCGGTTCCGTCCCAATTTATTTATTCACTTCATTATTTATATTTTTTCATTTTCATAATTACGGATCTATTTGTTTTTTTTACAAAATTTTAAAAATATTAGTATTATATTGATATATAGTAGAAATAAAGTAGAAATAATTAAAATGATCTTATTAGTATTATGTGGTATAAATATAATGGTATTTGTGTAATATATTGGAAATTGTAAGGATATTTGTAATATTAGGTAGATTAGTACATTTACTTAAAAAAAAAAAAAAATGATACTTTCTTATAGGACAGACCACAAATAAAAAAATAGATATTTTGTTACGAGACGAAATGAGTATTTTTTTTTCACTTTTATTCCATTTTCTATTTCTCGGAATTACTTTTTAATCTTTGTTTATAGATTAACAAAAAATTATGTTAAATATATGGTGTGTTCATTTCATAAAATAGTTCAAGAAGATATTTTTTTATGTTAAATATAAAAAATTGATAAAAGTAATATAAATAATAAATATGTATAATATATTAATTTTTTTAAAAAATATATAATTAAAAAAAAAAAAAAAACGAAATGAACACTAGATATTCTTCATTCATATTTTGTGTTTGTGTACTTTTGTCATATGTAAGAATTAATATGATAGATAATGTGTAATAATAACTTAACTAAGAGTTTGTTCTTTTGTGATTTCAAAATAAAATTAATATTACTCCATCCGTGTGTCTGCTATACTGTAGACACAGTATTTTAGGAGATGTGTAATTAGTAGATAATTAAAAATATATTAGTGAAAATAATTATTTTATAATATAAATAATTATAAATTAAGATTAAGATAACTAATTAGTTTAATTAAAATAAAAAGAAATAAATTGAAAAGTTTAAAATGAGATTGAGGTGTATAATCATTTTCCAAAAAAAGAAAGCAATATGAAATGTTGAACGAACAGAAACGACAACATGAACATAATATGTGGGACGGAGAGAGTAAATCAAAATATAATTTTAATTAAAATTTAATTTAATATTCTATTTCAAATTAAAAAAAATTCTAAAATACATTTGAAAGGGCATGGGATTGTCGCCCCTCCGTCTACCCCTCCCAACCCCTTCTAATACAATCATGTATATAAGAATGTGTATATATATGTAATATATAAATATATATTTTTTTGTCCAAGTCAATTTAACTTTTGCATGCAAATTTAAGTACTATCTCCGTTTTAGAAGACATGTCTTGTTCGGATATGATACGAGAGTAAGGAATAATAATATTTAATTGAAAGTTAGTATAATGTAAAATATAAAAGACTAAAATGTCCTTATATTTTTTTAAAGATTTTAAAAAGTATGTTAGAGTAATAATTAGATCTAGTTTGAAAAAGTAAGAATAATTTTATTATAAAATGGCGTCCACGACTACTAAATAAGAAAACATGACAATTGTTTTTGGACCGACGAAAATGGAAAAATAAGACAACTTTTTTGGGACGAATAAAGTATATTAGTATGTTATAGATATATAGTGTAATAGAGTAGTGTATAATTTATTTTACTATTAATATTAGTAGGATTAAAAGAATATGAACAATTAAGTAAAAAATATTTTAGTATTTAATTGAGAGATATTTTTATAAAAAAAATAAATACCTTTTAAATTGGACTGACAAAATGTATACCTTTGATTCAGATGAAAAGAATATTATATATATATAATATATATCATTTTTTGTGAGAGACGACCAGAAGGAGAGGGGCTGAGAATCCTGTGCCTTTTAAAAGTATTATAAGGGTGTGTTTGTTTGGTAATTTTGATTTTAAGTTTGAGATTTGAATAATAAAAAATTTGAATTTGGATAGTTATACGATGTGATATAAATAAATGTTAATGTAATGCTTTAAATATAAAATTAATTTTTAATATAATAAAAATTTTAAAAAAAAGATGTTCAATTCAATTTTTTTGAAAAATAAAATAAAATTTGGTGAATATATAATAAAAGTTTGATAAAAAAACGCA